GCAGGTTGGTTGAGCTTAGGAACCAAGTCTAGTTGCCCAGATTTTGGCTTGTCCGCTCGAACAGGGGGTTGGGCGCTCGAGCGGGGAATAGAAAGATCAAAGAACCAAAAAAAAAAAAAAGAACCACATTTGGAGTTGCAAATCTAACAAAAAAAAAACAAAAAAAAAAAAAAAAAAAAAAAAAACTTGAACAAAGAGAGAGAGATTCAACTTATCAAAGAACAAACAAATCAAAAACTAAGATCTCATTTATGTATCAAACACAAACACAACAAATATATATATATATAGAGAGAGAGAGAGAGAGAGAGAACCAAGGGGCTTTAGCCTAGTTGGTTAGTCTTTTGGTCACCAAGTCTCTCCTAAGGAGATGTCTTGGGTTCCACTCCTAGAAGTGGAATAGGAGGGCAAGATTTTCTTGCAAGGTGTATGGGTATGAGTTTTAACTTCCCGAATGTGTTAATCTAACAACTAACTATTGACTTTCGCCGACCAAAATATATATATATATATATATTTAGAGAGAGAGATGTAGACTAAGGACGGGGCAGACCGGAAGGAATGGATTGGTACGAAACCCTAACCCTCTATTCCGTCATCGGTCGAGCCGTCGGACTCCAACATCGTCGGTTGGTTAGCATCCTTTGTCGCTCCAGAGTCTTCAATCGTGTTGCCACCACAGAGTCGTGACCGAAGTAGTGGTGAGCGACTTAATCACCACCGTGGAGGGATTGGAATCTGCTGTGGAGGCAGCGGTTATGATCGGAGCAGATCGGCGCTAGAGAGATCGAAAACACTGGCTTCCTCGTCGAAATCATCGTGGTGTTGGTGGTTGCAATGTAATAAACGGCGGCGACGAAGGAGTTGGGACAGTGGTGGTTGTCAGTAAAGAAAGAGAGTGAAAGTAAAAGAGAGATAGTAGAGAGCGGGGGCTCAAAAACATGTGTGAATGATCGTATGTACTAACAGATATATAATGGGTAGTTTGGTCTTTTTACATTAATTTGTCCTTATGGACAAAATGTTTTAGTGCTTGGGCTTACAGACAACAAAAACTCAAATTTGGATTTTTGGCCTAAGCGACCTTGATTTTACTATATTCCTCTCATTCTCCTCCAGTCTGGTTCCCTTCTTTGTAAAATAAATTTGGAAAAATTACAACAAAAAAAAAAATATCCCAAAGTTTAACCCTTCTAACAAAATAAATTTTAAATTTTTTATTTTGTCAATTTAAATCATAAACTTTCGATTTGTTTTTAATCTAAACCATTTGTCTATTTTCGTTAAGTAAAAATCGATAGAAAAATAGATATTTCAATCATTAAACTCAATGAAAATGGTATTTTAGATATTTCATGTATATGTACATTGAGTTCAATAATTAAAATATAGTCAATTTTATTTAACAAAAATAGACAAATGGTTCATATTGAAAACAAATCAAAATTTTAGTATTTAAATTGATAGGATTAAAAATTCAGGATTTATTTTATTATAAGAGTCAAACTTTGAGTTTTTTTTTTTTTTTTTTTTTTTTGTAATTTTGCCAATAAATTATATATTTAATGTATTAGTAGGGAACAAAAACCATACACACCCCTTCAAAAGACATATTATAGGTTATTTTGGGTATGTTTTATACCTATTGTAAGAAGACGCGTAAAAAAATAGAGAGATTATATAATAGTTTTAAGTAAATAATGAGTCTATTTAGGTTGTCCCCAAAAGAGACTAATATATTTGTCGGTTCGTACTAACGCTTATTTTAGGAAATCATAATTTTAATAAAAAAAATAATTATTTTCTTGATATTTTTGTTTGTAAAAAATCAATAAATTAATTTTTTTTTAAAAAAATCAATTTTCAAAACAACCCTAAGTCATTATATAATAGTTTTAAGTAAATAATGAGTCTATTTAGGTTGTCCCCAAAAGAGACTAATATATTTGTCGGTTCGTACTAACGCTTATTTTAGGAAATCATAATTTTAATAAAAAAATTAATTATTTTCTTGATATTTTTGTTTGTAAAAAATCAATAAATTAATTTTTTTTAAAAAAAAATCAATTTTCAAAACAACCCTAAGTCTATAAATTTAAATAAATATATAAAGGTGGGTAAATTTTACTTTGCTCATTTTATGTTTGTCAATTTTTATGTTTTAATCTTTGAAGTTTTTTCTGTCATTTTGATCTTTCATATTTTAAATTTTTTTCAACTTACTCTTATGACTAATTTCTGTTCAAAATTAAACAAAAAATAATGTATTAACTGCTACATCACATAAAAAAATATATTATAATATTAGAATTTGGGTATAAAGGGTGAGTCATATATAATAAAATATTTTATATCACATGACTATCAATGTGTATCATTTTTTGTCCAATTTTGAAAATAAGTTAATTTTTTAAGTAAATTAGGAGAAATTTGAAACATAAAAAGTCAAAGTGGAAAATTTTTGGTAGGGCAAATTACAAATAAACCCCAAGGATTTAGCATGTTTTGCAAATTAAACCCCAGGTTTTTAATTTTGACAATGAAAACCTCGTAATTCATTCCATGTCACAATGTAAGCCCCCCGTCCATTTCCGTTTCATGAAGTAACGATGAAAGCCATTTTTGGCGCCTAAACCAACCCAAAACGACGTTGTTCCTTATTTGACCTATATAAAATCCCCCAAATCCTGAATTTCACCAATTAGGGCTACAATTTGCCCCAATTTCTTCGATTTCATCGATTTAGGGCAATACGAACGACGAATCCACTGCTGAACGAAGCTCCATGTCAACCATTACGAAATATGAGAGAAGGAAATAGCTGGGGTGGAAACAATTGGGGGGAATCGACTCGTTGCAGTTGTAGAATGAGAGCAAGAAGCTAGGAGGTTTCTTGGTTGTCCAAATTATGGAGTAAGTTTCCCAGTCCCATGAATAATATGAAATTTGTAATTTATGTACTTTATTTATTTATTTAATTTTTTTTTCTTTTTCTTTTCTTTTTTTTTTCCAGAAAAACGGGGCTTGTGGCTTCTTCTATTGGAATGATCCACCTACTTGTCCTCGTGGTAGACAAGTGTTGCCGAAGTTGGTAGACAAGGTTGCAAGCTAAGAGGAAATGGTAACTGAGATTGCAAGATTGAAGAAGGATGTTCAAACTTATCGTCGTAGACAAAAATGGATTGTAGGTGGATTGATTGTTGCAGTGATTGTAATTGGAATGTTAACAGTGTGCAGTTAGGGAATGTAGGTTAGTTAGTTATTTAGTTAGCTAGGTAGTTAGCATTTCTGGTTTAGGAAATGTAATGCAACTATGCACTTGCCAATGTGAACTTAATGTATAATTTTGAATGAAATGATAAATCCTTGTTTTCTTTGTAATGTGTGTTTGGATTGTGGTAATGTTTGTTTGGTTGTATACAATTTGTAATGAATTTGATGCATTTGCAAAGCCAGTGCTCTGAATGTGTTTGACAAAATGTCCAAGTGAAGGGAAAACATATTACAAGCTTGTAAAAAATAGATTAAAAGCCATTGTTGAACCTGTTTCAAAGCAATAGACAACACAATCCAAGCATGTATAATAACCATCCAATTGGTCAACCTATTCCACCTATTCAAGTTATTCCAAGCATGTAAAAAACCAAGCATGTCAAAAACAGATTAGTAAGCATTGTTCAACCTGCTCCAAACCAATATACAACACATTCCAACCATATATTATAACCATCAAATTGGGTACATCATTGATGTCAACCATATATAATAAGCATGTATAATAACCATCCATATATTGGTCCAAACCAATATACATCTTCACTATTACAAAAAGAAGTAGTTCACCATCCATAATTTGTCTTCAGGTCACATAACCATTACCAAAAAAAAAAAAATTCATAATTACAACATTCAGTTCACTATGTCTCAATTCACACTAGCCTGACTACCTAAGACCTGTTCAACTTCATCACTTCTCATGGTTGCTACTGGTGTTGATTTCCTCCTCGTTGATGCCCTCTGTGGTGGCTGCTACTGTTGTCCATGTTGTCCACCAGTTGATGCTTCTCCAAATATTGCATCTGATCTGAATCCCATGAAAGTTTGTCGAGTCCTCACATGTTAACAAAAAATTATTAAACCACAATTTGAGCGTATATGGAGATCAATTACAAGTAGAGCATACCAATACATTACTTAAATCCTTTAATGAACTTCCAGCTCCATCCTTTTTACCCTTGACAGGCCCCTTACATGTTCTTTGATTACGACCATGTACACCATACTTGGAGCATTTCAGGCTGGTACACTTCCTCTGCAACTTAAATGGGTTCTGAGGCTCAGCTAGGTCTCTAATTCTCTGCTTTTAAGGCCTACCAATTAGCCTTTTCAACTTAGGAGGAAGAAAAGGCTCACAACCTGTCTTAGGCCACTGATCTTGGCCATTAAGTGGATTTATCAGTGCCTCGTAAGTTCTCAAGTAGGTCTCTTTTTTGAAAGCCACATGCACATAATCCTCAACTCTCTTTTTTTTGAAAGAAAATGATAGCCACAGCATGAGAACAAGGGATTCCAGTTAGATCCCACTTGAAACAAGTGCATGTCCTATTCTCTAAGTTGACAACATAACCACTTACTCCATATCTAACTTCAAATAGAGCACCCCGTAACCAAGTAGGTATCCGTACTCTAGACTTTACCGTTGACCTCTCAATCTTAGTTTGTATATTTGCACATATTGGCCCTTAATACTTCGTCATTTTGTCCCTACATTCATGTAGCCTCACCATCAAAGCCCTCCTGATCCACTCTAACATGGTGATGATGGATCTATCTCTAGCTAGTAAGACCCAATTGTTAAAAGACTCTAAAATATTGTTCAACAATCTATTACACTTTGTTCTGGGATTGAATGCATGCCTACACCACTGAGCTGGATTAAGTCTCATCATCCAATCATATGCTCTACTGTCTATACTATGCAGCTTAGTCATATGCTTCTATCAATCAGCCCTTGTATATGCCTTTGCAGCTTTCCATACACAACTCTTTAGCTCCTTCCCTCTAAACTCCTTTTTAAAATTTGCGTAAAGATGTTTGACACAAAACCTATAATGGCCTTCAGGACATAATTCTTTAAGAGTTGGAACCAGTCCCTACAAAACATAAATGTCAAAATCATGAAGAACGAAAAACATTAAGGAACATAACAGAATGATGAAAAAACCATTAAATATAAACATACCTTTTGTTAATCAGTGATGAAGGTTCATCCATGCTCTGCACTTGTGCCAATACATTCAAACAAATTCTCTACAAACCAAGTCCAACTTTCTTTATTCTCACTCTCAACCATTGCATAAGCAATTGGATACATCATGTTGTTTCCATCCCATCCCACAACAGCAAACAATTGTCCTTGACAAGGTCCTTTCAAATGGAAAGCATCCAAGCCAATCAATGGCCTCACACCAGCTAAAAACACTCTTCTAATTCCATCAAGGCACAGAAACATTCTCTGGGACCTAGCCTTAATTTGAAGTTGAGGCCTCCATACATTGATGTCAACTCTTGAACCTGGATTGGTCCTTATCAACTCAGCAGCATAATCCCACAGTTTTGTATATTGTTCAGCATTTGTTCCATCAAGTTGCACCAATGCTTGTTTCCTAGCTCTGTAACATTTCATTTTGGATATTTCTACAACACAGTCATCTTTCACAGTGTCCTTAAATTCATTTATTTTCCAGGTAGGAGTGGTCCTAAATTTGTTCATATACTTAGATGCCAAAAATGCACTAGTTACTTGTCTGCTCTTGTAACTTCTGTTGCAAGTGTGTGTAGGTTTGTATGTCTTAATTTGTAACGTGTTCTCTCCACTCATGTTAGAGGCATAAAGCCTCCACTCACACCCATCACTACAGCTGACTTGAACCTTCCATGTCTCACTTTTAGTGAATTTGACATCATAGCCTCCTTTCACTGCATATTCCCTCACAGCATCTTTAAATTCAATGGCATTATTAAATAACATTCCAATTTTAAATTCAAAATTAGCCTTATCAAACTCAGGCCTAAATTCAAGGTTCTTTGGCTTCCCATTACCCTCATCATCAGATCCTTCATGGGTTAATAATTCCTCCTCAAATGAATCCTCATCATTCATAACATATTCCTCAAATGCATTGCCTCCTTCTCCATTTGGTTCCTTCTCTACATTACCATCAAACATGATATCATCGTCTGTAGGGTCATCCTCATCCTCAGTACTAGCTAAGAAATCACTATCTGATGAGTCATCATTTTCCTTATCTTCACTGTTTGCTTCATTATAGTCATGAGACTGAGGATGTTGAGCATTTTCATCATCATTTACAGGGACATCAGTAAGGAACAAAACAGGGTGAGGGGAGTCTACATTGTGTGGCATATGATGATCAACAAATAATTCTAATGTGTTTGCAGAGCCTAGATATTGAAACATTTCTAAAACATCTTGGTCAGTACCTAATCTTCTTAACCCTTTAACCAGATCTTCTGTGGGAATCCTATAAAAAAAACTATTTGCAATCACATATCCCCAACTTCTTCACCATATATACCAACTCAGGCACAGAAAATGTATCAACATCAACAGTATCAAACACATGTACTTTACCCCCCAAAGTAACTCCTAGGCCCACCATCACTATCTATAAAATACTCACAATGATGTATAACCAATTTCATATTTATATCATCCATTGCTGCATTCACAAATAAACAAATATATCACCCAAAAAAAAAAATGCATAAAAAATCAGTGGACTGAACAAGTGGCATGGGACAAAAAATGGAGATAAAAAATTTGATAAATCATTGGTCTAGCATTCAGTCAATGCAGTGGTCCAACCACTCAGTTAATGTAGTGGTCCATCAATGGAGATAAAAAATTTCATAAAGCATCCAAGACATTAAAGTAACCAACACACACACATACCCATGCAATAAAGTAATATACAAACACAGAGTTTGCCATTACTTTATTCACAAAATCAGAAAAAGAAAAAACAAAACTTCATATACAAATTACAAGAAGAAAGAAACAAAACAAATCGTATAAATCACTTACCAACACTCCAAATAATAGTAACCAGTAGTACTTCAAACTCTGGTCCAGATTTTCTTCCAAATCGCAACAACTGCTTTGCCCTAAATCGACGAAATCGAAGAAATTAAGGCAAATTGTAGCCCTAATTGGTGAAATTTAGGATTTGGAGGTTTTTATATGGGTAAAATAAGGAATGACGTCGTTTTGGGTTGGTCTAGGCGCCAAAAATGGCTTTCTTCGTTACTTCATGAAACGGAGATGGACGGGGGTCTTACATTGTGACACGGAATGAATTACAGGGTTTTAATTGTCAAAATTAAAAACCTGGGGTTTAATTTGCAAAACACGCTAATCCTTGGGGTTTTATTTGTAATTTGCCCAAATATTTAAGGATCAAAGGGACAAAATAACCAATCATAAAAAAGACATATTTGATACACAGTTGAAATGAAATAGAGGCAGAAACGGAGAGAGTGAGGGACCAGGGAGATCACATGCCCCTTCTATATTTTTGGATTTTTTTAATTTTTTAATTTTGCAAACATAAAGAAAATATTTTAAATAAAAAATACAAAAATATTATTAGAGTGAAATGTCAATGACATTTTAAAAATTATGAGAACAAAAATTGTTATTTTGATTGAAAATGAAGATACTACTATAAACCATATTATCTATGAAAATTTTTGAATGTAACGGTGATGTCATTATCATTAACATGCAAGTATAATTAATCTCACCATAAAGATATGAAATTTATTGGATTATTAGTTACATTTGACATGTGAGGTTCACTCTCTATGTGTTTATTTAATATTAGTTGGTGATATCATATACCAATGATGACGTGGTATTACCATTATATTGAATTTTTAATCAAATTTTGTATAAAAAAATAATTTATTATTATATAATTTATTTTAAGACTTATATCCATATTTTTTTTGTATTGTCCATATACACTATTTACAAATAATATTATTTTTTTGATATTTCTCGAAATCAATCGTAAAAACTTACTTGAAATATTTTTATAAAAATTTTCGATATTATAATTAATAAGTGCCCCCTCTAATTTAATTTTATAACTCCGCCACTGAACAGAGTTGATTTGTAACGCCCTCAAAATAATAACATTAAACCCACAAATAAGACATACATTGATATTCAAAGTTCCACATTCTTTCATTTATCAGCGTTTCATGCAAAAGTATTACATGTTAACAAACAAAAGCAAAATGCCTTACAGGCTTACAGCTTTCCAAGTTAACACTTGGTTACAACAAAAAGAGTACTAACTCATACACCTTAAGCCCTTGGCTTGTATTTACATGTAATACATCAAAAAGTAAAACGACAACATAATGTCCGCCTCTAGCCTCCCAAGCTATGTCCTTGGAGGTGGCATGCTACCAGTACCTGAAAATGATATTCACATATAGGGTGAGCCACAGCCCAGTAGAAATACACTAAACCAACCATGAACAATGACTAAAATATTAGCAATTGATAGATGGCCAACACTGATACATTCACATAAATCACATATTTATGTTATACGACTTACGAGTCCAAGTTTCCTTTCATTTTCCCCTTTTCAACGGATAGGCATATAAGCACTAACGACATTCTCAACAGATATGTATAACAACAATATCCACATTCTCAGATAAGCAAATAAACTATATCCACATTCTACAACAGATATGTATACTACAATATCCACAGATAAGCATATAAGCTATATCCACACATCACAAAGATAAGCATATAAGCTCTATCTTTACTTCTTTAGACAAGCATATGAGCTGTATCTACGGAGTTCATCCCCTATCTTCTCCCAACACTATCCGGTTTAGAGGTACATCCCCTATCTTCCCCTAAACCGTGGAGTACATCCCCCATCTCCTCCTCTACACATAACGTATACAAACACAATGGTTCTATATACAATCACTCAATACATATAGTTAATGTATTCTTTCAACCTTCAAGTTCCATGACACACTTCATTGATTAGTTTCAGTTTGCCTAATCATCATGCATTGTCTACAACAATCACGACTATCCTCCACCGATAGCCCAAAGCAGTTATTTCTAAACAGAAAATAAATGCACAAATGGATATTCAATCAACATATCATTTCCTCACTTCTCACCATTAATTATCCCAATTAATCAAACAATGTAATTAGGTCATTTTCCATAATTACCATTTCAACCCTTAGGTCCCATTTTCATCAATGATTTAACATCAATTCCATTTCTCTATGCCAAACATGCATCTAGGTTTATTATGAATAAAACCCCAACTTTTGTAAAATTACACAAAAGCTCCAAACTTTCACAAAATTACCAAGCCAAGCCCAACATCTCAAAATACCAAAATTTAAAGACAAAATCCATGGAGAGGAGTAGGATATCCCTGCCAGGTTTATTATGAATAAAACCCCAACTTTTGTAAAATTGCACAAAAGCCCCAAACTTTCACAAAATTACTAAACCAAGACCAACATCTCAAAATACCAAAATTTAAAGACAAAACCCATAGAGAGGAGTAGGATAGCCACAAAGGAGATGAAGACTCGAAGATCAACTTGCTCCAAATCCAAACTCTCAACACCCTCTATCTTTTTAACAGAGGCCCTAGGCTAGATTCACACTCTAGGGAGATCAAATCTTAGAGAGAGTATAAGTGTAGAGAGAGAGAGGCTCAGATTTAGGTTTTGCTCAAAGAAAAGAAGTGAAAAAGTGATGTTTAAGACGTTCAAAATCGCTACTGTCCGCTGATATAAAACACTTTCGCTCGAGCGAAGATTTTTTCGCTCGAGCGACCAGACACAGAAAACTCTCACTCGAGCCAAGAAGTTCCCGCTCGAGCCAAAAACTCAGAAGTGCGCTCGAGCAACAGAATGCTTGCTCGAGCTAACAACTCAAACCCTCAGGTCTGCAACTAGAACGCTCGAGTGACAGACTTCTCGCTCGAGCGAAGAACAAACCAGACCGCTCGAGCGAAGAAAGCTCGCTCGAGCCAAGAAATGCAACTCTCAGGTCCAGAACCAGACGCAACACAACTCTCGCTCGAGCGACAACTCCTCGCTCGAGCGAAGGACCAAAAATCTGGGCAGCAACACTAGGCTTCCAAACACAACCAACCTATGAAGAAAATAAAACATAACCATACAATATTAAAGGACAAAATTGATAAAATTGATACTTGAGAGACCAATATGATACAAAATATATATTTTTAGGACCATAGTAAAATTTATAATTATTTTTTCTTAACGATTTAAACATCCATTTTGAAATTATATTAATTTGACTCATATTGACAATTTTGAAGCAAAATGACAAATTTGTTTTTTGATCTGCTAGAATCAATTATTAGTTATTAGATTAGTACCTTTAGAAGTTAGCCTTCTCACCCTTTGTAAATTCAACTCTCCCCAAGAAGAGTTAAATTAGGATATTTAATCTAATAGTTGTATAGACATCACTGGTAATCTCGATAGAGAAGTTGGGCTTGATAGATTGATTGTAAATAACACTCTTATATATTGACCCCCAAAAAAACCCCTTAAAATTATAATAATTAAATTTATTTCCAATGAAGTAATTTATTTAAGAATTAATGAATTAAAAACTCAATCTCTTGCATTACTCCAATTTAATTTTAGTTGAAAACTGAAAATATCAATTTGACTGGATTGATGGCTAACCATTGGGTTTTTTATGGAGAAAATTATACCAATGAGGCGATAAATTTATAATATAGGAAAATTCGTTTTAAATTAGATAGTCTTATCAAAGTAACTTATTATTTTAAAATGTCATTGTCATATTATTTTAATTAAATTATTTATGTAAAATTTATTTTTTTAAATCGATTTCTTAAATTTATTTTAATAAGAGTGCGATAGAGAATTATTATTTATTTATTTTTAATAAGTTGGTAACCTCCAATTTCATTGTTTACAAACAAATGGTCCAATTAAAGTATGGACTAACCCAAAAAATTGTTTGGGGCAAGGAGATTTTGAACTTAAGAACATAGAGAGAGCACATCCCCATTTCCTCAGCCTTGACTACCAGGCCAACTCCTTAGGTAGTGTTTCATTCATTGGAATGATTAAAGTGGAATGAAATTATCATTTTATCAAAATATTCATTCATTTGTTTGATTAAATTAAAAAAAATAATAACAAACACATTACAAATAGAATTACCTTTCACAATTTTAAATAAATAGTCATTCCATATGAAAGACTATGGAATTATAAATAGAATTACCTTTCACAATTTTAAATAAATAGTCATTCCATATGAAAGACTATGGAATTACAATTCATTTTAATCAACCAAAAATAGAGCATAATGGTTAGCAATATTATTCTATTAGGAAGAGATTAAAAAAGACATGTCAAACTGCTAAACCAAAGTAAATCAAATAACAATGAAAATGAACAGACAAATTAAACAGGAAATATTGAGTAAATTTACAAATGCACATACAAAAATCAAGGCATAATTTGTTTCAAGTAATGATTGTCATATAAAAAAAAAATGCAAGTGATTATTTGTAAGTAATTAAAGGAAAATACAATAATTTTTTATTTTTTTGAGTTTAGTAAAAATGGATTTAAATATACTA